GGCCACTTAACTTGATTTGATGTATAAATAACATAGTGCTATGTATAAAACTAGCGACTAGATCGATAGTCTGTCGGTCAACATTTAATCCGTACAAATACTGATTGGTTTACTATACGTTAGTTAGGTAAAGAACCAATCAGATTTCAACACGTTGATTACCGTTCACTAATCGACCTAATATTTCTAGCATATAATTAATCCGTGATACATTTTTTATGTATGACTATTGCAATTATATACATTTGTAATTAAAGTACCTCTCAGTCGCTCGTTTTGAAATATGCATTTTTTTTAAATATTTAAAGTGTGAGTCTTCCCCTTGAAATTACCAGTTCCAGACAGGGGAAATTTACTAGGAAATTTCATACATTTGGCTCCCTTATTAAATTTCGATAAAGAAAAGAAGACGAAATTTGCAGTATAAAATGATATCATCATTCTATTTCACAGGTTCTCATCAGTTGCCATTGACTACCGGAAATTACAATGCTTATATAGATGATAATAACATACTTTAATGTTTGAGTGGTAGTAGAGAAGAGATACGATAAAAATGACGCATCCAAAATGTAAGCAGTATTACAATTTTTAGTTTAAGTTTTCATCATCAGTTTATATGCCCTTTCAAAGTAGAAAAGAAGAGGGAGGCGTAAGACAGAAAACGGGAAAAATTAACAAAGTGTTAGCTTGTAGATTCACATAGCAACTTAAAAAACAAAAACCAGTTACAGGTTATAAGATTGAGATTTGTTCAGTGAGTTGAGATTACTGAATCAGATGACTAATCTATGTAATCAAAATCAAAATTCAGTTATCTAGGGAGTGGGAGATTAATCACACACACACTCCCTTTCTATATGCATAAGTCTGGTTGGTTTGACTAGTTTGATTGTGATCGCTTCGGTAAATTGTAGTAAATTTCCTGTCTTTTGTGTATTTAAGATTTTGAAAGTGTTTAGCTAAACTCATAACATTATACAGCACTACTTCTTCTATAGGCCACTCTAAACTGGATAAATACCCTGCTGATGTCACCTCCAACTGCGTTTATGAACTGAAGGGCACTTCCGGGAGCAAGTACATCGGAAAGACATAAAGTAGGGCCTCTATCCGGTTTTCTGAGCATATTCGAAGACACTTGTGCCTGACAGGAAGCAAATATTCTCAGAGTGCAGTTACCAGACATATTGTTGATACCGAACACCTCGTTGAGATTTCTAAGTCCTTCAAAATATTAAATTAAATTGACAAAAAACACCAAGTTTACTACTATTTACCGAAGCGATCACAATCAAACTAGTCGAACCAACCAGACTTATGCATATAGAAAGAGAGTGTGTGTGATTAATCTCTCACTCCCTAGATAACTGAATTTTGATTTTGATTACATAAATTAATCATCTAATTCAGTAATCTCAACTCACTGGACAAATCTGAATCCTATAAACTGTGACTGGTTTTGTTTTTTGAGTTGCTGTGTGAACCTACAAGTTAACACTGTTTGTTTATTTTTTTTCTGTTTTCTGTATTACCCTTTCCTCTTCTTTTCTACTTTGAAAATGTATAAATTGATGATGAAAACTTAAATTAAAAATTCTAATTTTATTCAATTCTACATTTTCCTGTCGATTGATTGGCCCGAAGTGTTCAGTCTCAGATTGACATGTCGGCTTCTTGTGCATATGCTTCGACAATGTCTAGGCATTTAATTAGTATTTAATTGGTAGATGGTGACTAGCAGTGGAATCCAGGATAAAGCGCATTTCGTCCTATTTGGGACTCGTCAACTGGATGTACATGCATTTCTCAGTGAGTGGTGATGTTCCCACAGAGGCTCGAACCCAGTGCCCATAGTTTCAAACGCCAAAGCCTCGGTGGGAACATCACCACTCACTGCGGAATGCAGGTACACCCAGTTGACGAGTCCCAAATAGGACGAAATGCGCTTTATCCTGGATTCCACTGCTAGTCACCATCCATCAATTAAACCACACCAATGTTTCGCGTTCAATCTCCGGTCGACACAATCCTAAGTCTTCTTTAGCTTGGAGTAAGCCCAGTGAAGATGGACGGTTGGGCGTGAGACTAGTAACCCCTCCCAGTGAAAAACACTAGCGCTATCAAAACTTCTAAGTTCAAGCTCAAAGTCCTATGTTCCACTCGGGATACAAAGGAATGCAAAGAAGAAGAAGAAGAAGAGTGATCAATCAATACATGATGGGTACCGCTCATTATCTTAAGCGTTTGACTTTCAACCAATGGATCCCTTCTTCTAGTTCTATTCCAACCTAGTTTAGCCTCAAGCAACTGTGTAGCAAGCATCATCACGCCTCACACTATAAGCGTGGCCTTCAGTCTGGTATAAGAGAAGTCTGTTCCAGGCAGGTAATTGATTTCGAATAATAACGTCTCAATATCGTTAATTCACACACTAATTAACCAATAAAAGTTGTACGCCAATTTGTGAAAATAAGAACAGACTTATTAATTCTCTAGGCTGTTAATTCAGCTGACAGAGAGAAAGATGCCAAATTTTTTGAACTAATATAAACAGACAGACAGACACACATACACACACGTGGTTAGCAGACTGAAGGCCAATATAGTACGTTTGTATATATATATATATACCGCTGAATAAAGTACACAACGTTTTTTCTATTTATACGCTGATCACTGAATAGTTTACGATGCATAACCCGACAAGTCTCTGATTGAAACTTATGGATCATATTTGCGATACCGTTAAAATATTACGAGATTCTTTATAACAGTGAACTTAAATCGATAGTCAATGATTGAAAGCGATTGAACATAATTGTAGTGATTGTTGACAGCCGGCAGTAGAATGACAACCGAGACTTTCGATGAAGTCATGTTTAGTTTGACCATGGATTGATATCACAGAGAACCATTGAAAACCATCACTGGAGTACTGGACAGCTGTTCCCCAGGTCCTAGTTTAGGAATCATCGGCAGTACGCACCCACACCAACAGAGGTTTGAACCCAGGACCTTCCGGTTACAAGGCAGGCTACCTCGTATATCATTCAGCCACTGGGACACGCCTCTTCAATGGCCAGCCAGAACTTTCACCAATTCGTGACTTTTAGCGCGAATGGCACCAACCAATGTCACCGGTGGGACATCCATCCTCACACTTAACCGGTTGGATCTCACTGGTCACGACTTCTCACTAGAACTAACTCCAGGAAACTCCATCCGTCCTGTAGCAAGTCACTAGTGAGCATCAGGTTAATTTTCAAGAGTTTGGTTTGATCACGGATTGATATCAGTTAGAGAACAATTGAAAACCAGGGTTCTCAAACTGATGTGAATCCATAGTCAAACTCGTAAAAACAAATTTAACTGTTACAAACCAACTCTTGAAAATTTACTCAGTTGAAGGCACTAACATTCAATATGAATAAAGCACAAAATCTAGACCCAGTTCAATATTCAACATTGAATATTTTCAGTCAATACTCGGCGTAAGTGAAATGACCTTGTATTGATTGATTAATACGGTTTCAAATCTGACCAATTAGAGAATTACTGAAAATGAGGGAGTACGCCACAATTTTTTGTTTTGTCCTTGTTTAAGACTCTATAGCAATACTCACCCATGATTCTACAGGGGGACATCCAACCACTGGGATGGAATCCAATAGCCAGGTCCATGGAATTCTAACTTCTTTCAATTCGTGATACTAACGCCATCGTCAGCTAATGTTCTCAGCGTCAAGTGTGTATTTGTCGTCACACTGGACCTGCTGGACCCAAAGTGATCACGACTTCTCACCAAAACTCCAAGTAACTTCTCCCTCTAATCAGACACTAGGGAGTATCAGATTAACTAAGGTGATGTGTACTGCGGAAGCTCTCGCCATATGCATCGAAAAACCGGAGCTATGTGTTCAAAAGAAACTAGTCCAGCCTTTACAACTATCATGGGCCTAGTTCAGTATGTTCCCTTATCCTTCAGCCATTTTTGTTTTGTTATCTGTATGTGTGTAATTATCTCTCTTTGCCTTCATTCAATTCATCCCAGTTTTTTCAGTTATTAAATCAGTTATTTTAAGTTTGTTTCCATGCTCCTCCTGATCACACTTGTAATCCGTTTAAAATAACCATTTTAACAAATTATATTCTAATCCTGTGTAATTTTTTGTTTCTATGCCTCTTGTAATAATCCATATTCACACACTTCCCAACTTACATTTTAAGTTGAAAATTCTGATTTCATTTGGTTTCCATGTTCATTTTATTTGTTCACACCTGTAATTCGTCCTATCCCTGAGTCTCTAAGCCTCTTGTAATTCATATCAAGTTGAAAATAATTACCACCTTTTGTTCGCCTTTAAAATTATTTCTCCAGTTATCAAATATTAATTTTGCATACGTTGTACCTTGTTTTATAATCCGATGCAATCTTGTCTCTAAGCCGCTTGTAATCTAAATACTCGTACCTTCAAACTTTCATATCAAGTTGAAAATTATTATCACCTTCGTTACACTATGTGGAATTAAACAAATAAGCATTGTATCCATGTAAACTAATGTTGTATATAAATGCGATTGCACAGCTGCTTTTGAGAGTGAAATCGCCGAAAAGACGGATATAGTTCTGCTGAACTTCTTGTTCTTTTCAATGAAATAAAAATGAACAGTGTCAGATGCTTGGAAACAATCGACAGGAAACCCTGCCTGACGTATATTTTGTGCTTGTTGTCAACAAAGTGTGCCTACAACTGTGAATAAACTGATATCCCTTATGAAATTCACACCTGTATCACCGAGTACTATACACAGTCAAAGACGTTGTTTACCACTGAGATATTCGGCCTAATAATTGTACAAAAAATTATCAAATCACCCAGTTCAAAGTTCGCTACAACAAACAACGCTCATGCATATGCATAGGGACAACAATAACAACAACAAAAAAACATTACAAAAAAGAAAAAAATCGATTAACAATTCATCACACAACTCACTTCAAATTTAAACGTGCCAATTCACTTTCAGGGAATAATATTTTTCCAACTGATCGATTTAAACTTGTCCCCGAAGATGAATGACTACTATTCACTGAAATCTTTTGACGATTATACAGCAAGCTATTACGATTATCAGGACTATATCGATATGGTGTGTGCACAATATTTGGAGTAGCAATAGATGATGCATTATTGGCTTGTGAATTAGCTGCTAGCAGAGTTAACAATAGACGCATATGATTATTAGTATTACTATTATTAACTGTGGTATTGACAATATTATTAGTATTGTTATTGCTACCGCCACTATTGTTACTATGCTGAATACCTGGTGTTTGTGAAATATTTGTATTAGCACTGGTCAACACATTCATTGCAGTCGCCGCATTAGGAGTGTAATACACAGGTGGATAAGCACAATATTGAGCATTTTGTAGCACAGTCAATGCGTCATTTGATTTCATATTAGCATAATACAACGGGAATGATGAATTCTTATTTGTAATAGTTGATGAGACACAACAAGTGACTGTTGGTGGTGTTGTTGTTGAGGTGGTGCTAGTGGTGTTGTTGGTGGTGGTGGACGTCCCTGTCGCCACTGGGACAACAGCCGCCGCCGCCGCTGATACTGATGATGTTGATGATAATGGTGAGGCACAATTTGACATCATCATCGTCATCGCTGCCGCCATCTGTTGTGATTGTAGCTGTTGACTTAAATTATAATTTGCTAGTAGATCTGTTGTAATTTGATGATTGATAGGAGTAGTGAAATCACTAGGCAGTGGATTCACATATGGTTGATGCATTAGTGTATAATGTTGATCCTCTGGAGTAGTGAATGCTGCTGCCTGTGAATTCGGTGAAAATGAAGGCATCGGTAAAGTTGGTCGAGTATATGATACTGCTGCCGCGGCCGCTTGTGGCAGATAACCAGCTGGCAGTGTTGTAGACGACATCCAAAGATTAGGTGAATTCCAATAGCCAGGATACCAGGCGGCAGCAGCAGTACTGTTTGGATCGTATACACTATCTATTGGCACTGGGGTATATCCATTTAGTGGACAGATGGATGCATTAGTATTGCAGTTGGTATACGATGTTGTTGATGACGATGACGATAATTGAGATGACGACGATACTGTGGAGGCACTGGAATATTCAGTTTGATGATTACCTACTGAGGAATCAGTAGACTTAGAGGGAGTAGTATTGTTGTTGTTCCCTGTACTACTGACAGCAACAGATCGTGCTATTGGCATTATTAGATTAGACGGATGAACTAGTGCATTGACATTGTCAGCTAACGACACCTTGGAAAGAAAAAAAAAGAACAGGGAGAAGAGGAAAATATTAGAGATTAAATCTAAATCCTTCAAAGTACTGTAATCATTCAATTGAGTTCCGAATTGAACGAAGGTCTTCAAGCTTTGACGCTTGGTGTCATTTCTAATGGGGTCCAACGCTTCCTGCCGATTGCCTCCAACCATCTAATACCAACAATTCACAGTGTACCGTGATGGCGAGCTACCTAACATGGTGGTCACATTGCAAGCTTGACTGATAGAATTCAGTCTGCACCGAAGATAGGACTACACACTGCACTAGTTACTGACTAGTATTCAATCAAAAATGATGACCAACTATTCATCTTCAGCAGGATTAATGCTGGTTAAACGAGATTTAGGTGCACATCGGCCGGGAATCAAACCCGGATCACATGCATGTTTGGCGAGTGTGTACGACTGGCAGTTTATTCAAGGATTTGAGCTAGATACTTGATCTCTAGTGAGTTTTTTTAGTGTATGAAGTGACATCAGGCCATGCAAGAAAAGTGACTGACTGATCGGTTTCAAAGTAGAACTATGCACCAATGTGCAGCACAAGAGAAATCAAGAGAAGAAAGCAAAAAGAAATGCAAAACAGAGACAGTAAAGAGATATATGAGGTAAAAAGAATAGTAATATCAAAGAACAATAAAGTATTATTGGGTATTATAAGTCACAAGGAGTGGATGCATCTGCGTCATCATTGACAACGATTTTAAGCCATATCACCGATTGTCTCCAGCCTGTGGTTCTTACCGTCCTGAGGACCCCAACCAAGAAGTCTACACCTTCTTATGTGGCTTAAACTAACTGTTATGGATTTCATTGACTGATGAAGTCATGTATTGGTTTGACCACCACTAGTTCTTTACAAACCTGACCCTATGTCAGCTAACATTGCCCGTCGGTCGAGGAAGGAGATGGCTAGGCATACGTAACACATGTCTTAAAATCTCAGTCGATGTAACATCACAGCCTCGTCTATTAATTTCCCCTCTTTACCTAGCACTCGATGCCTAACCAACTCAATATTGCTCACCCTATTATACCAAGAAAAGCAGAGGAGGAGATCCGTCCTGAATGACAGGAATATCGGCAATTTTATTCACGTTATTAGAAATAATCTAACAAGGCAAAACGAGATGAAAAAAAATATTTTTTAAAGTCATTTCTGAGTTATTCTGTATCTATCAAATGTTGATCTGCAATGACTTGATTGGTTAGAAGCGTGACTGCGAACTGACATCAATTGGAGAACTATTGGGAAACCAGCAGAGACTACTGGATATATATCTTGTCTTCATAGCAGTATGCACCCGCCGGGGTCCCAGCCGAGGCGCTTCCGGCTACAAGGCGATTTATATCGGACCGAATTGCTCGATCTCTGCTCGTTTCCTAGTACTAAAGCTTCGATGGTATTCGAAGGTTAACACAATGTTATTTGATTGATGGCAGTGAAATCCAGATTGACTTATCGGGCATACGTCAGTGCGCTTTTCAACATTTTTCGTGACATTGTCCAATTTGCTGACTTCACCATCTTTAGATGGCGTGTGACGATATATACTATTAGATTCGTACTAACAAAATATTACAGAATATGGTAATACGAGCATGAGTGGTGGTCAGCAAATCTAAGATTCACAGTCTCAAGAGTTATCCAGAGTTTCGGAAAATCAACCAACGAGGCTGTGAAGGTTAGGTTACATATGCCTAGCCATGTCCTTTCTCGACGATGGGCAATTTTAGCTGACGTAGGATCGATCAGGTTGGAAAAGAGCCAGTGGTGGTCAAACCAAAACATGGCTTCATCAGTCAATGAAATCCACAACAGTTAGTTTAAGCCACATTAGAGGGTGTAGACTTCTTGGTTGGGGTCCTCGGGACGGTAAGAACCACTTGCTGGAGACAGTTGGTGATATGGCTCAAAGTCGTTCTCAATGGCGCAGATGCATTCGCTCCTCGTAAATATATTTTTTGGGGTTGATTTGAATTCATTGAACCGAAACTATGGATCTTATACACAATTATACTAAACTTATGAACATAGTGGACCACACGCTTACCATACTGGAGGACCACCACCACCAGGTGTTTATGAGCAACCGTACACTCATGAAGCTCATGGTCAGCGCCTGACACAACCAACTTTTGCAACAAAATAGTTCGACAGCTACATTATTAAGTCCGCCCAGGGGAATAGTTCCCAGGCCATTTTTCGAAATTATGACCCATATTGTTATTCATATAAAACCAGGTGGACCCTAATACGTGGCTCAAGAAAGAACTCGTACTCTGGAGCTCAGCGCTTCGTAGATCTATACACTCGTTTATATCTTCCGTACCCCCCTGGTTCAAAATTATTCATACTATCCTCAATTACAACCGATGATACAGAGGTCCCGCGTACTGTGACTTTCTAGATTACAGTATGCAAATATAAACATTTGCAATCAACCAAGACCACCTCAACCTACTCTTGGAGGAGGTACTCACTGAGACTGAAAACCAGAGCCTATGGTTACAAACAATTTAGTTCACTTCACACCTACGCAGAAATGTACATATATCTGGTCTTATTGGCCAGCTCATTTGGTGTAATGAGCTCCCTGAACGAATATCACCACTACTAAGAATTCAAAATTACTTGTTTGTGAAAGCTAAGTTACCAGGCTATGAGCCAAACCACTCACTGAGTAATGACTGGTAGATACCACCCAACTGCCCAGACTTACTCTATATGTTTAGGATTTGTGGGGAAAGTTGTATTGCTGGCGAACAGGGGTGTAACCGCAGCTAGGTGTTTCCTTCAGATGAGCAGCACGCCAGTTATGTTGCCTCTGCACTCGACGGTGGTCCGTGACAGGTGACAGGTGGTAAATTACTAATAAGGAAACAACTCAGAAAACCAATTCAAACAGGCCTCAAGCATTTGTCCCCTGGGCTCTTCGGTAACTGTGTTACTATACTTCACGTACTCCAAGGAAAAGTCAACTTCTTCCATCAGGTGGTTAACCGAGAAGTAACAACCACCCACACACACTTCCAAAAGCACACGAACTTCAACTGATCATCATCCATCTTTATCTACGACAAAAAAGATTAAATCACAACATTTAACCGATTCAGACATATAAATCTTTCCCACAAAAACACTACACTCTACTTACTGAAGCTAGAACGCTGGGATCCACACAATAACCTGCTTCATTTTGACGCACTGGATTCGTCCCTGCCTGCATCAGGTCTGATGATTCTGATGGGATCACCATACATTGATTCAGACATGCAGGATCTATATTCAACTTGGATAGACCTAATTGGCTTGGATAGTACTGTTTTTGATGATAGTCAGCATAATCATTATTATACCAAAAATAATAGGGGATTTGAGTAGCTGTCGATGGACAACACATTGCAGCCGCCGCAGCAGCGGCAGTTGGCGTTGAATAATTATTCAGCATAGTTGGTGATAATACTAAAGGTGGTTGTAAGGCTGCAGCACCACCAGCAGCAGCGCTAACAACACCACTGTTTGGCAGATTATAACAAGATTGAGCAATTAACTGATGATATGGATAGCACTGGGGACATTGAGATAGGCCACAGGAGAACCGGTGTAGACAGGACTGTTGTTGGTGTTGTTGTTGGAGTTGGCTAGTCGGCGTGTACAACTCTGAACTATTCACATTGTATTCAGAATTTGTATAACCTGAAGAATTCACTGAGTAATCTGAGTAATTGGCATTTGATGAATTAGGATTGGAATTAGTTTGACGATGTAAATTATTATTATTATTACTATTACCATTGTTATTATTATATGAATCAGAATAACGATATTGCGATGATGGTTGTTGTTGTTGTTGATTAGGCATAGAATTCATGTCTGAATAGGATGGTGGTACAGATTGATTTCCTGTTGAATGATTGGATCGTTCAAATGAGCTTTTATAATTATTGTTAGAATGTGTAGACGCTTGAAAAAGGGAGCAGAAAATAAAAGAAGAAAAGGAGTTATTTCTAAAGAAATTATTAATAATATTACTTATTATTTTATTCCTTTATGTTCCCCAAGTGGAACATGGGGAGGGCTTCAAGTTGGAGGCTTGAAGTTTCGGTAGCAGTGGTGTTTATTTTTACGGAATGGGATCGCTAGCCAGTCTCATGTCTCCCCCAACCTTCCCTCTTTGCCTAGCTTATTGCCAATTAAGCAAGGTTTGGAAGTGTGTCGGTGGCCGGGGATAGAAACTGGGACCACCTGAGTGGCCGGTTAGCATTCTACCTCTGATTCACCGACACGAGTATATATCATTATTATTGTTTCCTTGGGTTCCTAGTGGAACATAGGGCTTCAACTACACGTCTCCACTTGCTTTTGTCTTTCTTCTGCTGTACTTTTCACCTGCATCCATCTTAGTCCATACTGTTTCAACCCCTCTTCACATGATCGCCTCCATGTCAACCTTGAACATCCCATTCGCCGCTTCCCTTTCGGCCTGGTTCCACTTGAGCAATGGCCTGACGCTCGCGCGATGTCACCCAGTGGCGGCCTCCTCAGCGAGTGTCCAATCCATCTCCACTTTCTCATGCATATTTGTTGGTTGGTGATTGGTTCTTTTTTTGTTTGTTCCCAGCCATAGTTTCTTGTTGCTGATTCTTTCCGGCCCTGCCATCTGATCTTCAGTATACAGCGAAGACAGTTGTTGGTTGATAAAGGTCTGCAACAGGCTGTTGGAAATATTCTTTGTGACCCACCCGCCAAGTTTCTGATCTGTATAGAAGAATTGACTGACTTGACGTTGTTTGTATTGAAAATCCGATCGAATTTTGTTGTTGATGCTGGCTGAGTGACGAAGATTTCCAGATTGGTTTCAGTTGGTTGATGAATGTGTTTCTCGCCTTCCTGATTCTCGATTTGACATCCTCGACCGTTCCGACTGCCTGTAGTTGAGACAATGCTAGGTGATAGATAAGTGAATGAAGTAACCTCTTTCAAATCCCTCCCGTTGATGGTGATTGGCACTGGATGTTGCTGTTGTTGTTGGTTGGTTATTTTCATAGCCTCCGTCTTGTCTATGTTTACCTGGAGTCCTGTCTTTGCTGCTTCTTCGACCAGTTTGTCGGTTTTCGCTTGTACGTCTTCGATTGTGTGTGACATCAAACATAAATCATCCACGTGCGAAATCCAGGTCTTCTAGGTTCCCCATGTCGGTCCAGGAGAGTATATATCAGCTTTTTCTTAATTTACCACAGTGATACACGGCAGTTGAAAGCGAAAAAAGAGATGAAAAGATCACAATTCACTGAGCACGTATGTAGACCTTTGCATCAGTTTAAGAGAGTTTAGAGAAACCACACGATAGGTAGTGTTGAGATTTTGAGGTACCATCAAGTAAGAACTGTGACTAAATCGATGAGATGTAAAAAAGACTGAGTGACATAAGAGTTAAATGTTTTAGACTTTAACGTAGTGGCAGACACTTGTAAGACACGCTACTCGTTATTTATTGTAACTTCACATATACGAAAAACAATATTGTAAGCACACTTCCTGACAGAAGCAAGTTCACAATAATTGATACGACGAATACAACTGAACTGAATTTTCAACATTGAAATTTGAACTTAATTACAGCAGTTCAAGTTTACCATACTTGATAAATACACAAAGTTGGAAGAAAACAAAATTAATACAACGCAAAGAAACGCCGGATATCAGTAGGTCATCGCTAAATACATGTGCTTTTCTTTGATAAAATGCATAACCCCTACGGTTAACATAATAAGTCTAAACTTGAGGTTATACTGAAGAACCAGAGGAAGGTAGCAGTGCAACACAATGACTTTCCAGGCATTTTGAAAAAGTCGACCATCTGTACAGTTCACCAGTTAGTTCCCTTAGTTGGAAAGTCCAACGGAGAACAGATTATTCTGTGTTGGTTTATTATTTGCCGAGAAATAAGTGAATCGAATACAGTTGAAATAAACAACAAACATAATCCGTGTACCCACCCAAGTTAAGGGTAGTATCCCTTTCTAAATAAATACTTGGTAATTATTCGGATAATCCCTAGTGACTGGCTCTATACAGTAAGTTACCTGGAGTTCTAATGAGAAATCGTAACCACAAGGGTCCGCCAAGGCAAGCGACAGAATAGTTACTCACCCACGACACTGGCTGGTGGTTGTGCTTCATCTATATTGCGAATTGGCAGAAGTTGGGATTCATGGACCTTCGGGTTTACGAGTCCACGTTGTAACCGGAAAGTCCTGGGTTCAAACCACGGTGGGCATCTGCTGATGAAAAGTTCCAAACTAAGACGAAACAGCAGTTCACTACTTCCTTGGTTCCCCCTAACTGGTGTCAGCTAATGATCAAACCTGCGACAAAATGATGCATAGAAATACAACACCAATGAATCAAACCGTTCACCTTTCAGTTGTTGATTCTGTCGGAATTCGACTGGTCTCAGGTTACACGACGCACTAAAGTCAATTGTAGGAGCAGTATTGAAAGCCTGAGAGTAGTGAGCAACCATCTCCATCTAGTTCGCCGGTTGCACTACATATAAAGTAAACAGACACAAGCTGAAATTCATGAGCTATTGGATTCCGTAACAATAGCGCTTAGATTATATCTCCAGTGAGAACACAAGTACTTACTGCTGTGAAGAGTCTCAAACTAGAACAAAACAGACCAGACAACTGTTGAGTAACTCTCTCCTTTTCAGTATTTCTCAAAATGATGTTAGTTCGTATGAGGAGGAAATTAAAGCCCATAGAAAACCGGGTCGTTTGCCAGAAAAGGGTTGCAGAGGATAGAGTCAAACAGTGATGTATTGCTGAAGCCTTATGTTTCACTGAGAATCCAATGGAATAATAATAGTAGTAATAAGCTCAAGATTTAGAAATGATGGTGAAATTTAGCTTAGGTAGATGATAGTACTCGTGTAGGTATACTGTCTGTCTCCCTATCTCTCTTTCTGTGAGGTCAATACTGAAGTCACTGGTGAAAATGTTTTCAAGAAAGACAATAATAGCTTCGCAGTTAAACTATTCAGCTCAAAGAAAACAACACCAAACTCAAAATTAAAAGCTACAATAACAACAACATCAAGGTAATAAAAAATATCATACACCACTGAGTACACACGGCCAAGTCATACAATTATGACTGGGAACAAAAAGTTGACAACGGCTAGGGCCATTATGGAAATAAGATAGACTCTTCTGTCACATTTCTGCTAATTTTCCACCTTTTCCTTAAACTAGCTCTGCTGATTCCCACAATAAAAGTAGGCAAAGTCATTTTGAACTCCAGTATCTAGCGCCATAAAGCTACTAAAATCTGGAAAACCAGCAAGACGAAACGAAATTCCTCCGAGAGCACTGGAAACGGATCCAGAGATCTCAACGTACATTCTTACGCCACTATGGCAGAAAGTTTGAAAGGTAGGAAAGGTACCTACTGATGGGAAGAAAGACTACCTGGTCAAACTACCGTAGAAAGGTGACTTGAGTCTTTGCGAATACTGTCACAGAATCGTGTTCCTGTCTGCGCCAAGTAAAATATCCTGGAGACACTACAAGATGCTGCGAATGAGAAACCCCACCCGGAACAAACTGCATCCAAGAAAAACAAATCATGTGCTGATCAGACTGCATCTCTACGCATCATTATCAAACAGAGCATAAAGTAACAGTCAAATCTCTACCTCAACTTCATCGACTTCGAAAAGGCCTTCAGCAACGCTGACCTTGAGGTAATTTGGAAACTACTTCACTACTATACAGTGCCCTAAATCTTTATCAGCCTCATTCAACAGCTACATGACAACGCCACATGTCTAGTGATCCAGAACGCAAGACACGGCGAATCCTCTGGAGTGGATGCAGGAATAAGACAAGGCTACCTACTATCATCGATGATATTCTTTATTCTGGTGTCAAGGCAGTCATCATTTCTATATCGTTTGAAGGTTTGGTGAGTCACGAAAAGTCATTTCGAACAGGCTACAAGTTTTAATCAACTGATACCTTCGTTCTATACTGGAGATCCGATGGCCAGAAATCATAAGTAACACGGACCACATATATATCTACTCCTTGATGAACTCAAAAAGACAAGTGAAAGATATCTAATAGCTTACTTCCATGATGAAGACATTTGGGACTATTTCTGAAGAAGTGGACAGAATTTTGGTGGGATATGATTTCGATATTTGGCCTGAAAAAGAAGCCTGACATAATCTCCATTCCTTATGGAAAAAGCCAGTAGGACTTAGTAGCTTTTTTTGACAAGATACGCGTATCAGCCAACCAATGAAGCTATTAGCATTCATTGTCTTAGGTGGTTTACATATGTGTTATGCATAATCACCCTCTATCGCAGGGTGCTATAGTCGGGGAAGATAGATAAGGAAAATTAGGTAAAGATATGTTACCATTCATTAATACATTTTCTAGGCTGTGTAGGAGGTTGTAGATTGCTAAACTGGTTTACACGTGACAACAGGAACTTATAGTTAGAGACTTTAAGTAAAGTAACGCCGATCTGATTGCATTTGCGCAAATGCCTTACTATCATATTTTCTTCTTTGGCATTGTCTTTGACTGTACTGTCCAAAGAACTCTGCTACATTCAATTGAATGATTAACAGTTATTCACTTCTTGTGTTTATTTCTTCCTGCATGATGTAAAGATATGCTGTAATGTTAGACCCTATTGTTAATGGCCTGTTCATCTAATGAACTATATCCATCGGTAGCATTAACTACCTCTGAAACTGTTTCTACAACAAACTAAACGTGTTGCTATGCTGTAGTCTTTAAGACATCCCTTATCCTGAAGTTGAAGCCAATCAGAGTAGATGACTGAATTAAAGCATTACAATGCGATTATGGGAGAAAGATTAGAATTCCTGTTTTCTACAGGGAGATAGAAACTAACTTCTAAAGAGCCTAATTAACAACCGAAAGCTTATCACAATGAAATTTAAGTACTAATGCTCTTTCTTTCTTAACAATAAAAGATTTTAACATATTTTATAATTATTTATTCTTGCATTCTGAGTGGAAGATAGGGCTTCAACTGTTTATCTTTACTGCATTCATTTCTCTGTTCTCACCTTCAACCATCTCTACATCTACTCACAAAATTTCATCTCTTAATATAATCTACGCGTCAATCTCGAACGCACACCCAACTCACAGTATCCCATTCCGGTCCCACCCGAGATTCTGCCTAGTGAGCGATGTCACTCAACGGTCTCCTCAGCGTATATCCATCAACATTCTCTCTTGCATATTAGTTGAGCTATAAGTTCTTGGATGGTCCTTCACCTGCCAGAGTTCCTAGCTGATTATACTTTCCGGCCAGCTACCTGAACTTTTTTATCGATCGAAGGTAAATGCTAATGAGAGTCTGCAGCAAACTGTTGGAAATACTTCTGGTGAAGCTGGTGTTTTTACTCTTTCACCCGATACCGCTGTGTTTCACTTAAACTCTTACCTGTTATTTTCTCTTTTCCTCTTTTGGGTGATAGACCGCCCTGATGAATTACCGATTAGTAATAGAAGTGCTTGCTACAACAGAAGTGTTGATTATTGTATTCAATACTGAGGAATACCAAACAATGGTTTAAAGATAGTAAGGCAAAATGTTTGTCATAACTTTTTGCATGCAAATTAAGTTGTCGAAAAAGAGATTCATAAACAACCATTTACAACAGAATTAAGTACTACTGACATTAGCTGTTCTATTTTTTATTTTTTATTACAACTTGATTCCACACCGTATTTTTGGTACAGGTATGGAATTTTCAGCATGTGATATCGGTAGCCCAAATTTTGCAGGCCGACAATGGATATCAGGAGCGCGTCGGCAGGGGATCGAACCTCGGACCATGTACATTGTCGGCGAGAGTCCTAACCACTGTGCCATCGACTTCATAAAAACCCACTCCAATACATAATATTAATAAAGATTGAAATTTCATGGGAAGCTTCCCTTACCTTCAAGTTACTATCACCCTAAACATCTCTTAGCCACTGTCAAAGAAAGTTTATGAAAGAACTCACATGCTTTTTTATTTCCATAAGAATCCACCGAATGTTGAGATCCGACCATTGATTTGTTGTGAGGAACTCCACGACCTGGGGATGAATGCATTTCTATTGCTTATGATGTCATAAAAATATTCCAATGGGTGTCTGCTTGTGGATGTTTGATTAGAAATGAGAAATAGAAAGAGGAAATAGTACTTGATTGAAATGGCTAGGAGAATTTCTCAATAAACAGTATGATTTACAAATAGGTTGTAAAGGAGATGGCCAATAGTCTGAAACCCGAATGGCTGAAAATTTATGCAAATAGAGGTTGTGTAGAAAATATAATACGACTAAAAGTTCCACGGCTTACAAAGAATATATAATAGTGTGGTATTAGTATAAATGTTAACTTAGTGACACGGATTTGCAAGGAAACGAAACCAGACACCGAAATAACTCAAAAACTCTAGGTTCAAAAATCTAGTGACTAGAGTGTAGTACTAGTACTAATGTATAGACCCTCAGAATTTTGTGGATTGTGAAATAACACAAACAAAAATATGTCTGTGCATCCTGTAGTGAAATTCAGGAAGATAGGAGGACGAATCTCAAATTAGATTGACAGTGGTGTAGCTAACAATTCCATCACTCAAATCACTTCTGTTAAATGTTTTAGAACACAATATGCAGTAACAATAAATTCTATTCCCAAGACACACGGTATCTACTACACACCTGGTTTCCATAGCTTAAAAATCTCGAATATGGTTTCTACTTACATGACTACAAATAAATTGCATAATAGACTAGAAAACCCACTGGAATTGTATTCACATATAAGTTATTTTACTAAAATGTGAAACGAAACGGACAAGACTGTAATGATCCATATAATATGCTTATTAAGCGGGTAGATTCCTCTCAGTATTCATACACTAATCACGGCATAAATTTCACGACACGAAATGTTGCGAGGCGAATAATACTCAATACTTCCAGACATTCACTCGTTCGCGCTGTCCTTCCCTTCGAAGATAAATCCAAAAATTAAACAATTTCACAAGACTTTCAGTGACTTCCTTAGATTACAATCTAAGGTAGGTATGCCTACATTTAAAAAGCACAGTTGTCTATCAAACACCATATACATAACATTTTCGAGTAAACTCTGTTTATTAGGGCATTTAGATGTGAAGCACGAATTAAAATGGACAAAGGCATGGCGAATATGCCGTAAACTAATTAATTAAATAACTCCGTTTACAATGATATTTGTCGTCGTACTTACTGCACAATTATCCACCATTAGAACATAACATCAAATATAGGTAATTTCAACTAGCGTTTTATTTTTCTTATTAAAAGTAGGATCAAATAACTACGGAAGACTACCAATCTTCATTATGGGAACAGCGTTAACATTAGAACAACCCGCACACTTTGGTTTCGTGGCTTAGTCCTTGAAATTATTCGTGTTTCAGTAAACAAACGCAACTCACATTTGCCATTAGTTGGAATGCCTCAATTTTTAGCATGAAGCTTCACAACATATTTGCTGACTATTTTCTCTTTTTCCTGATGATTGCTTCAATTTATTTAGCTGCATAACTTCATTTGTTTTAATTTGCCCATGGTGATAATTTTATGTTGTACGTAACTGCATTGTAAAAAGCAATTGGGTGAGGAATTTGAGGGTGTCCTGGAGATACTCCGTGTTTCCTGTTTGTAGTGTGCTATACATTTAACAGACTGGAGTATACTGAGAATAGGGAGATGGATAGTCGTATGCGGGAATATTTAAGTAGATGTCGAACAAGGAATGGAGAATAAAAGATGAAGAAACAGACATGTGGCAATAAACGGAAATACGGAGTGCCCACGTTGGTCTGTCATTTTCCATGATGATAACTCAAATACAGTCCATTTCCTTAGAATTATTTTGAGGACTCCGTTGGAAGGGTCTTTAATCCGTCCTTTCCCACAGTTTTCTATAGAGTCCAAAGAAAAATGTTCCGTCTGGTTTCAGCAATGTCCTTTTTCATTATATTGGTTATTCAGTAACTGGGTTCGTAACCTTATCTGCATTTTTAGGCCAAGAGATTGTCATATAATCATATAAGCCCACAAATATTGTTTCATAATGAAAATTAACCCAAACAAACCGAAACGTCTCATGTCACTGGGATGCTGTTGCTACGTTTGTTTTCATGAAGAAATCAGGAGAATTTCTCTAACTTGATAGTGGAAAACAGTGCCTCTCAGGATCATAATGGCAAGAATGAACTCGAAATTGGGGAAAGTCACACTTACAAAAAAGTGGAGACATCGGGGAAGAAAGAAAACTTCCAAAAACAATTGCAAAATCTAGTTGGCGACATCAAAAATTCTAACAAGTAATAAAGATGTCAGACTGAGAGCAGGTAATGCAGGGAGAGGACTTATTATGGGTCTTGGTCAGCCCATTGAAATGAATGAAAATAGAGAACTGCTGATAAACGTCTACATCTTAGATGTTTCGCTGGCTGGAGGCAGCGTGTGCTGACACAAGGATATGCATAAAGTGGTGATAGTTTCGCCCTTTGAATATACCCAAAAATTGTGTAGAGTTCATCTCAGCCTCAAGGAAGTAGGGAAGCAGTCTGATAGATACGAAAGCGGGAACAGAAGCAGATGTGGTCTAAGATCACCGTCTAGATCAAGGTGCCCTCCTGATCACGTCAGAATCCTTCGAAAAGCCAGCGAAAGGGAAGGAATGAAGCTCTATACCAAAAAGATTTAGAGTGAAATCACAGAGGACATCTTATTAGAAGATATTAGGAAAGTCTATTTCACTAAGCCACTTCGGCGAGGAAAGGAAACTGGAACTCCCTGAAAGCGACAGGAACCAGTATAATTTTCTTGGTCGAAAATTGATAAGGCAAGGAATAGACCTATGTGGGCACTTGGAATCAGACAGATGATGGAACGAATGTACTAGTTTAAAGATGAATGACGAAAGTAAAGGTTCAGTACAACCTTCAGAGCACCAAACAAGGGCGTGAATAATAGTTCAAAGAAGAGAAAAGTGGTATGAACAGAAATTTTATACAGCGCTAGAGAGTAATTCCATTGTGGAAGAAATTTTACTTTGATAAAGTCTGACAGTGTTATGCAGTAATATTTACTGATATCACTTTACAACACTGTGAGACTTTATCAAAACGAAATTTCCTCCATTGAGGGAGCGGAGAGACATTTTTGAGGTGCATTCGTACCTGACTCAGAAAGTGCTGCAGGTAAGACAGGCCTCAAAAAACTTTATCGAAAACTCAGGTTGATCTTCAAGAAGCGATTAGTATGGAAGAAACCGATTACCACGTCGGTGAAAGAAAGAAAAGACTGAAATGGTGAATGTGAGCGGCACTTCAGCTGGCAGCCATCTAGACCTGACCAAGAAATACGGCTGGCGGGCGCTGAACTAACAATGGTCGTCAGTTCTCCGTTAGAATCATGAACACTGAGGGTCTTAGGGGTTCTGAGAGCTGGAAGGGTGACAGGAGTAAATGGAATAGCTAAAGAAGAACTATGGGCGAACCTGAACACCTTACTGAATGTTCCCACGCTCTTATTGCGTAATGTTAAGAAGGCAGGAAATGTCCCTGTAGATCAGAAGTGAGGCTAGTGTTATCTCTAATTTCCCATCTTTAAACGTTAAAGTTATACTTCATACACCATTTTGCATTTTGTGTTAATTAGGCTGCCTCGCTTCACTGGACTATTGTACATTTTAATAACTGCTGACTAATTTAATGTTCAAGTATTATCCTCTTTGTATTTGGATGCCAGAAAACCTCATATTTAAATGTTCCTACTAGGTTTATCTGATGCATTTTGTTTAATAGAACAACAACCTTGCGGTTCTTCAACAGTCTGTTGTCTTTTGTAATTCTATTCGGAGACATTTAGTCATTTGTAACTGCAACCGTTTGGTGTATTTGGATTTGTCGAGTTTCTTCAGAACAATTCTCTCTTATTCGGTTTGCTGAAGACTGAAAGTCCATGTCTCCAAGTATTATTCTCGAGGTGCCTGCAACGCCTGGTTTGTCAGTTTATGTAAGATGGAATTTAATCTTTGCAAGAAATAGGACGAAGTCATGCTCCTGTACATCCTAAGAATAATTTAGGCCTTGTTGTCCTTGACAAGCAAGAGATATGAATAATAAACTGCTTGTGGAACAAGCCTGGTACATGAGAACAAGTCACGTGAGGGTGGTGCTTAACCTCACATGCCATCGTCGAACAGAGTCTAGGATAACGGTCAACTCCGTACCTCAAATTCATCAACTTTGAAAAGGACTTAGAAAGTGTCTGTCATTGTAATTTTGTAGCCTCTTTAAAACTATATAAATAAGTGCCCAGTCGTATAGACCACACTTAAAATCCGTATGGTGAGGGTGTCACATGCCACGTAACTGGCCATGGAAATCCCAGAGAACCCCATGCAATACCAAGATATATATTTCTTACCTTGAAAGCAGTATGAAGATCTATAGCGCCCAACACAAGGAACACCACCCACATTTTCATCACTTTCGTGAGGTTCGTGGAGCTTATTTATGGTTCACAGACTAAGCAGGTCAAGAAAAACTGTCATCAAAACCAGTATCAAGGGTAGGTTGACAGACGAATCGTACGTTCCGTAAAGACACTCTAATGTCTTGCGTGTGCGAAGTACTTGGTTAGGTACTGTACATCATTTCTGTTCCCTCTTTTCTAGGTATTTATCCAGTTACTTTTGAGTTCCCAACAGGTTGGTCTGATTTTAACTGAATATCCCGGTGTACCAGACCGGCACCACTATTAAATGGTCTGTGGATAGATAATGCACTATCTCTAGAATTACAGCCCACGATTTTGAGTGACGGAAAATACGCTCATGGTTCCTCCAAAATCGCACACTAGGTATCACTGTGATCGATCGAAAATGATCTACTCCTAGTGAAGATGAATAATATCCATCCTTCCCAATCCCGCTGCTCTGTATTAAGGCGCACATTTCTGATGGCCTTTACCATTGCTCCACCTCCTCTTAGAACCTAAAAGCTTTCCCTAACAGCCGCTAGCACTTGTGGACCATTTACATGTCTTCCGCCATCATTTTGGTGTCTTAGAAGCACTTGGGTGACGTAATGTCTGAGTGGCAATACTACGAGTGTTTCCATTAACTAGGCAAGGGTAGATGGTGCAACCAGTCAGTTGCACATATCGAGCCCTTTAATGAGGTCGGGTGAGGGTTGAGCAGAGATAAGTTTATCGCTCATTCTTCTGGATCATTGGATGGAGTTAGCGATTTAAGCTCCTTAAACTCTACCAAACCCGCAGCGCTGCATACTATTCATTTTCAGTGAGCCCAAGAAAAGCGACATATTGCTTCTACCCAGAGACCTTATCAGAATGAAGCATTCAGATTAAGTCAGCCATGCCATGACCTTGCAAAACACCTCCCAACTTAATCGGTGGTGCACAGCCGAAGCCAAAAATAATTTACCAGGAAACTTACTACATCTGTGACCCTCATTTGTCGGGCCCTTTCCTTACACTACATATTGAAAATGTTACTCTAGGACCGCTTATAAGTAAGAGGCATTCGCGCCACCCCATGAGATGTAGAGTCTACCGCATTTTCCTCCAATGTCATACATCGCTGTTAAGACACCTGGCTAGGTTTACGTATTGCTGAAACCCGGTTAGTTGTTTGTAACTTAAGTCGTTTCATGTACCGCTAATGTGGTACAAAATAGTTATCCAACCAGCCCAGAAGAGGAACGCTCTGAGGTTGATGTCCATTTGTGGATGCCATAGAGCCCTCACGTGGGTTACCAGGAAAGCTGCAACCTGTTCTAGCCATGATATGCTACTAATCTTAAGAAGTAATAATAATAATATATATTCTCATATAAACATATAAATTTACATGAAAATGCATGCCATTTTTACAGGCACGATCAAGTACTATCGGAGCCCTCACCATGAAAACGTGACAAGTGTCCAACACGAGAAAGATATATTGACAACCCTATGAAAGCGACTGGGACATTACTACCCTTCCCCTATGGCCAATCTGTTCTTCTCGAATTACGGAATATCTTAGTGGACATTGGACCATTGCACAATTAAATCTGATACTGGTAGTACCATCAGCTTCCAGATATCACGTTTATCGATTGCGGAGTTCTACTTGTAATACACGCTTTTGTAAGGCATATCTTGTTCTCGCAAACAATTAGTAACCCAGATCGGAAGAAAGCCATGGAGATGCCACTGGTTTCGGAGTATGAAAATATCAAAGTTGACTCTCTGGATAACAGTCTCTTTGCAATGTGCTTTTCCTGTCCCATAACCCTTGTCTGTTTGCTCTTTATCTATAAATAGTACAATTCCACCCAGTGCCTTAAGCAATTCCTTGGTCTCTAGTTATTTGACTCATTGTTTG